AAGTGAATTGTTCAAGAAATTCTCAAAATCAAAAGCTAAAGTTGTCCCCAAATTTTGATCCAGCAATAAAATTGGCCAACAATGATGAAGTGTGAAGCAGCCTATAGATAGAAGGAGATGACTGTTGTCCAATTTGGTTGTTTTCGGTTAAATGGGGTAATGAACTTCTGTCTATGGAGGACTGGGAGACACTTTTGGGGATAAGGGTGCCCACATACACTGACTGCTTTGGGGAACCTCCAATTCCACCATCCATCCTAAACAGCATAGATGGGTGAACCCCTTGGCTGTACCCAAACACTGAAGCTGATGTCATTGTTTGGCTGAGAATTTTTGGACGGCTCTACGGTATTGACAAAAAAAAAAAATTACTAGACTTCTGTCCAACGGGGGTGGGGGATTGGTGCCGACTGGGCCACATGCTGGTCAAATTTCAGCCAAGTCAGCAGAATTTGACCAAAATCTAACCAGCGTATGGGGCCAGCTAGACTAAGGTTGAACAAGGTACCATCTGGACGGGAGGAAGAGTCTGCAGGAGCCTGAGCATTGCACCCGCGATCCACTGATTGCAGATGCATTGCTTTACTGGCTCAAATGTAAAATTAAAAAAATATATGCACTTTTTTTTTTCTTTTATGAACATGTATGCAATAATTATCATCAATTACAGTGAAATGTGAATTAAATGGGATTGTGAGCAGAGAACGAGCAAGTCACGGACATGCAGAACATGTCAAGTGCGCAAACAAGGCAGGTCCGGACATCTCTGCGACATGAAAGGCGTGTGATCTATTGAGTTGTATGGTGGAAGCCTCCAGGTAACCATCACTAATTGAGGAATATCAGTGCGAAATTCAATACCTCTGCCCGAGGGGGGGATTATCCGCAGAGCATTGCTATATACACACATTGTACATTGTGACAGGAACACCTACTGCCTAATAACAACCACCGAATCTAGAGCGTACCGAGGATTGGCAGTAACAGTCGCTGTCAGCAGTTCATGACCGATGATGAATCACATAAAGGGTCAATCCACACAACACTTAAGTGTAGATTTATTTTTTTGGACAGATCTGTCAATGTAAATCCCCCTGATACAGGGGTAGGCAGCCTTGGCTCTCCAGCTGTTATGGGACTACAAGTCCCATGAGGCATTGCAAGACTGACAGCCACAAGCATGACTCCTAAAGGCAAAGGCATGATGGGATTTGAGGTTTCACCACAGCTGGTATGCTTAAGTTGCCTCCCCCTGCCCTAGGGGGCTTTGTTTTATCTACCACTGGTGAGATCTTTCCATTTAGAGGCCAATGCGGTGATCGTTACAAGGTGCAATTCCTTTCATTAAAGAGTCCTGAAAAAGTTTTAAAATTTTTTTTAAAAAATCACGTTTCGGATCAAGTAAATAAAAAAACTTTCATTAACCACTTCCTGACCAGCTGAAACATATATGTGGCAGCAAGAAGGTGGGCTTTACCGCAAAGGCGCCACATGTATACGTCCACTGCGCTGTGCTAGAAGCATGCTCACTGTGTGCTCCCACTGACACATTGCGGTCACAGTCTACAATTGGGAGCCATGTATGGGCTCCCGATCATGTGATGGCGGTCACATGATCATGGGCTCATACCCGTCTGCAAGGGCTGTTGGCGGCAAGACGTTCAATCTGAAAACAATGTTTATTTGCCTGATTTCTAGCAAAATTGATTTTCCCCGCACCACGCTGTCAACGAAAGTCATTCCAAACCCCCTGGACGTCAGGTTCTGCAGTACAAGCAGTGCACTGTGGGGGGGAATTTATTTAAACTGGAGCAGACAGAATCTGGAGCAGCTGTGCATGGCAACCAATCAGCTTCCATCTTCATGCACTGCTCAACAGCTACTACAACTCCCATGATTCACCGCTCTTGATTCAACCAATGCACACGCAAGCCCATTACCACTCATTTGCAGTGTTGATCCCGCTGCCGCTCAAGAAGTCTATGGGTGGTGCTGTGTGGGTGGCGCAGTAATAAATGGGAGGTTTTCGGTACTTTTACATGCTGGTGTTGGATACAAACACCAATATACATATAACATGCCGGCACCCGTCATAACAGAAATGTCAGTTGAAATATACAGATATACGGATACAGTTTATGTATTCTGACCATCCAAAATCATCTACATTCTGCTACTGTGTGGGGTTTATACCTGTAATGAGAGTATTCAGAATACACACACCTTTATTATATTTCCTCCATGCTAGCTTGCAGGCCAAGCTGTCCAGCAAAAGTGAGACAACCCACATTGCACCCCCAGGAGTCCTTACACTGGTCACGTTTTATTCCTTTTTCCCTTAAAACAAACTGTTATAACAGCATTAAAAGTGGAAGCTGGAGCTAACTCTGTAACTAAAAGTACGTCTAAACCAACTGTATCCACTGGGTGACAACGCTGCCATGATTTCACTGCAGAACAGTGTTGTCACCCTGTTACAGGATGTGGAAAAATCAACAAAACTACTGGCAGGATGTCTGTGAAGGTTCTTATTCATCCAGGTCATGGTATATCTGTAAACAATATGTCAAGGCAACTGGACCGGCTGTATTTTTCTTGAAGACATTTCACTGGTCATCCAACCAGCTTTCTCAATTCAGAAATTTCTGATATGAGAAAGCTGGTCGGATGACCAGTGAAACGTCTTCAAGAAAAATACAGCAAGTCCAGTTGCCTTGACTTATTTTTTACAGATATACTGGCAGGATGAACCTAGTAAAACTAAAGGTGCCCACACACTGCACGATTATCGTACGATAATCGCGGGAAATCCCACGATCGTAGGAGAATTGCAAAGTGTATGCAAGGCGTGCGACCGTTTCTAATGTACGGTCGCACGACTTTTGTATTTCGAGCATGTTCGAAAACCAGCCGAGAATCGTACGATTTTCAGCTGGTTTGTAGCATGATCGTGAGATAACTGCCGCACGGGCCTGTGTGCAATGCGCACACTGCCCGTTCAGCATTGCAGTCATCGGAAGCCCGCCCCTCAGCGGGGCGAGCTTGCGATTATCGCAAGTACGATCTGCCTGTGCAAGATGGGCAGATCGTACGTTTTTTAAATTACTTTACAACCCTCGCAAGACAAAAGTCTTGCGAGGGTTGTAAAGAGTATGGGCACCTTTAGTAGAACGTCCAGTCCCAGGACTCTCCAGTAGAAGGATATGCTGAGATTTGTAGTTCCCAGATTCCTGTAAGCATCACCCGTGGCCCGTAAAGGAAGCAGGCGTAGCATTAGAGAAGTGACAGACACTACAAGGCAACTCATGACAGTGACACAGATTATTGGTGTTTACTGGTTGTCACAGTAGGAGCACGTCGCTCACATTTCAGTCCGGTGGCAGTTATATACTGACATGTCATGTCTGGAGGGTTCTTTGACGGGCTGGAGAAATGCTCCTCACAATGCTGTGTGACAATGGCGCCGAGTATCATCGGAGAAGGTAATAAAAAGATCAGACAAAAAGTTGACCTGCGGGGTGGCAAATGTTGGCTTGTTACAGAGGAAAACCTGCGTTCTATGTCACAACTGCAAGATGGTAAATATGCAGTTTACGCATGAGAAGGATCTATTTCACGTTTGGATTATTTATCAGTCAAGGACCATAGGTGGAAATCTATGCAGATGTGTATCCGATGCATCCAGTGGTGGTCAGCCAAGGGCCCCTGGGAGAGAACATTTCCTGGGCCCTTCTCCCTTATTAAATTAAGGGGAATTAGGGCAATATGAAGAATGCAGACCTCAGCACTGCCCTAGATATGAGCAGTGCTGAGGTCTACAGGATAGTGGAGGATGGAGTCCCAGTAGCCATGTAAACTTTCATCTCATGTAAGTGGGCCCCTAGGCTAGGACCTTTTTTAGGCCACCCTCCCTCCTTCAATTAAGGAGAATGATTAGGGCACCATTAAACAAGAGCAGTGAAGGGGTCTACAGGATGGTGGAAGGTCTACAGGATGCTGGAAGGTCTACAGGACGGTGGAAGGTCCAGAGGTCTACAGGACGGGAGAAGTCTACAGGACGGAGGAGGTCCAGAGGTCTACAGGACGGAGGAGGTCTACAGGACAGTGGAAGGTTCAGAGGTCTACAGGACGAAGGGAGTCTACAGGATAGAGGAGGTCCAGAGGTCTACAGGACGGAGGAGGGCTACAGGGCAGTAGAGAAAAGAGACCCTGCTGCCACCTGACCATCATCTAATGTAAATGGGCCCCTAAACCCCAGAGGGTCCTTATGCAAGAAAATGTTTTGGTCTTGCCCCTCTCTCATTAAACAAGGGGAACAATTAGGACAATATGAAGCATGAATACGGCTCATCACCTACCCAAGATGTGGGCAGTGCCGAGGTCTAGGGCCAATAAAGAAAATACTCCCAGCATCCACCTGACCCACATCTCATATAAATGGGCCCCAAAATCTCGCAGGGCCCTCGTGCAGTTGCATGGAGCCCCAAAAAAACCTGATATCCCCGGTTATACATCGGTCATCACTGTCGCCAGCAGCAACCCCACCGATGTTAATCCTTCTCTTGAAATCAGAACAGAACAGATCTCTCGAGTATTTATAACGTTTTTCTGCATCCTACCAACAAGTGTAAAGTATATCCCGTGTATAGCTCCTTCTAGGGGAGGACTACAATGCTCAGCAGACCCTGACACTTCCAATGGATTTCTGGGGTCACTTTGCTGCTTGGTGTAATGATGCTGCATAACCAATGGTCAGTCTACTACAACCCCCATCATAGAAAATCTGGACAATGCAATGAATGCAAGGCAGAGCAGCCCTCATAGGGAGAAGTCAATCCAGCACTCTGAGCCATCTGTCCCTAGAAATCGGGGAATACAGGGAACTCTGGCATGCACCGGCATGCTGCAACTTGTAGTTCTCCCGCATGCTGCACCTGCACAGGGACTGTTGCAGTGACTTGAAAGCTCGGTAATAGTTTGCAGATCTTAAAGGGGCTCACCTTTCTGAGCACTTTGTGGCAGTTGGTGCAGATGAGATAGTCTCCGCTGTTGCTCAGGCTGTCGGTGCTGTTCATGGTGTCCCCCTCCCCCGGCCGGTGCTCTGGCTTGCTGTTGTTGTTGTTGTACGGGGACAACGGCCGGCAAGCTGTACACTGCGGGCCGCCCCGAGAGCACAGACCGGCCACAGGAGAAGGGGGTCGAATGACAGGCACGACAGGGCGGGACTGACTCGCACAGCCACGCCTACCCCACATGGGAAATGTATAACCTCTCCGACGGTCACACCCACTACTCCGCCCACTGGCATCACCCACTCACTTGCTCCTCCCACCGTCGGCCCTTTTTGGCCATAGCCGCGCCCACCTCGTCCCTCATCGCTCTGACAAGGGACCAGCCTCCCGCCTCAAGTTCCTTCCGGCCAATGGCAGGCGAGCCGCTCGTCGCGTCACGCCCCCCGGTAACTGCTCGTGCCAGCCAATCGCAGAGCGAGGAGAGAGAAAGGCGTCTCGGCCAATGGGAAATGCTCGAAAACAGGAGTCGCCACGCCCACTAGAGCTCAGGGCTTAGTTGGTGGACAAAAGGAGCAGTGATGAACAAGGGGTGCAGCTCTGTACAGGGGGGTGCGGAGAGGGGGATGGGGTGACCAGGACACTGAAGTCAGCTGAGTCAGTGTCTAGAATAATGTCACCATTTATTATATCAGAGACTGAGTCGTCCACCCAGAATTGTACATGTTAGTTTTAGGTGGAATCATTCTCCTTCCTGTGACAAGTTTGTGTCTGTGGCCCCCTGCATGCAATCCTGCAATGATAGGACCACTCCATTGCAACTGGGCTTGGTGATTGCATCTTCACCAGCGACACAGTCACTGAGCCCCACAATCGCATCCGTGTGCTGCAACACCGTGCACCACAATGCGTGTCGCTTTGTAACACACGCTGCAATGTGAATGGCCCCGCAATGCACCTGACTTGGTGTGAAATTGCTCCAAAACGCATAGTAATAAAGTAGCGTGCATTTGGGGAGGAAAAGTGCAGGGACTTGTTTGTCGTGCGGTGAGGGGCAGTCAAAGGAAATAAATGGGCTGCCCTGTATGCGGTGCACATAAATGTGCATATGCGTGTACAATGTCGCACGCGCACAAGTGTGAACGGGGCTAAGGCCCTGTTCACGTGATTTTCAGGTCCTGATCAGGTGCGGATCTGCAGACGCGGTGCTATGTGTTTTGATGCGTTCCAGTGGGGCTGTCAGTATGTTAGCTGCAGTGCAGTGCGTTTTAGACAAAGTTATTTTTGTTACATGTTCCCATTCGCATGGCATGACTTTAAATTGGAGATACCAAATACGAGTATCGGTACCGATAATGAGTATTTGGGTGAGTACTTGTACGTGCCCAAATATTGCGATACTTACCCCCCATTAGAGAGATTCCCTCTGACCTGCAATGCCACGAGGGGGCATGGAGCCGGCTTCCCGGCCAATCAGGAAGCCCAGAGGCAGGTCACTTGTCGCTAAGCAGCCTGGCTTAACTTGTCGCTAGGCAGCCTGGCTTGCTGGCCAGTCCGGAAGTCGAGGGGTGCATAATGACCCGCTTCCTGAATGGCTAAGAAGCTGGCTTCAAGCTGCCTAGTGACACTGCAAGGCAGCCTAGCTTCCTGACCACTCAGGAAGTGGTGTGGTACGTCATGACCCGCTTCCTAATTGGCTAGGAAGCCGGCTCCACTTGTCACTAGGCAGCCTGGCTTCCTGACCAATCGGCAAGTTGAGTGGTGCGTAATGGCTCGCCTCCTGGCTTCATGTATGGCTAAGAATCTGGCTTCAAGCTGCCTAGTGACACTGCTGGGCAGCTTGGCTTCCTGACCACTCAGGAAGCGGGTGGTACGTCATGACCCGCTTCCTAATTGGCTAGGAAGCCGGCCACAAATGTGAACCGCGCATGCGCCCGCCGCAAGATGCTTTGCGGCCGCCGAGGATCTTCACATTTTCGGACGGCAGCGCGCAGGGAAGACACAGGCGAGTATTAACCTCTGTAAAAAGCGTTTTTGTTTTCTTTTTACACTTTTTGCATAGATCTACTGCTCGCTAGCAGTAGATCTATGCAAAAAAAAAAACGGAGGCTTTAATTATTCTTTAAGGAGGGGGCTGGGGTGTAATGTTCACTCTAATTAACCCTGTGTGTACTGTGCACGGCAGATCTTAATTGTCAGCTGTAAACTAGCTGGACGCTAAGGAGGGAATGTATCAAAACTGCAGCAGACAGATTGCCCATGGCAACCAATCAGCTTCTCTCTTCAGTTTGCTGAGTTGAGATTTGAAAATGAGAGATCGAAGCTGATTGGTTGCCATCAGTTTTTATGAATCCCCCTCCTAACAAAGGGTTAAGGATGGGTGATACTTTGTATGTTATTGCCCTTTAAGGGTATATTCACACCATAAGGCATGCACGTGTTGTGACGCACGTTGTGTTGCTTTTTGTTGTTGTTATTTCCTGTGAGGTCATATCCTTCTTTTTTTGTTCATATCATTTTATCTTTCTTTGCGGTGGGTTGCATTGCGCTGACGTGCACTTGCGCGCGTTGCGCTGCGGTGAAAAAAAGTAGAGCATGCACCAGCCGTGCATTTGAACGTGAACAAAATGGCGCAATTCTGTGCGCGTTCATACAAAGGGGAGAAGCATATGTCCTGCGTGCAGGTGACATCATTTGTTAATGGAACCCCAAATGTGGCAAGCATGGCGTGTGTCTTAGCAAAAAATGCTGTTGCCACATGTGTCACCTGTACGGTAGCCCATGGAAACGAATGGGCTGCTTTATGCTGATGAGTGGCGGCAAAACGTGCCAAAACGATCCGCACATTCTTGCACGTGGCTACCAGAAAATACCCGATGATCCTGCCAGAAATGCAGCATCCTCCTCACTTCCACAAGCACCAATAATGTTCCCTTATTCCTTTGAACTACTTATTCCCTACCCCCCCACGTTAGGTCTCGTTCACACCTAGGCGTATTGCATATGCGCGACCGTCGCGCGTTTTTTTACCGCGATTCGCGGTAAAAAAGTCGAGCGACCATTGCGCGTTTCCGAAGGCTACTTGGCTGTAGCCCAATGGAAACGCGCAACAAAACGGCCCAAAGTAGTACCTGTACCTTTTCAGGCGTGGGCCGTTTTGTAGCGCGTTAGGGACGGGCGGAAATACGCCAAGGTGGGAACGAGACCATTGAATACAATGGGATTGATATTTTTGAGCGTTTTGTAGAGCGTTCGTCGAGAGTAGAACGCGCTACAAAATGTTCAGGTGTGAACGAGGGCTAAGGGCTCGCTCACACCAGCAGTATTGGGCTGCTTTGTTCAACCCTGACTGGTGTCTGGGAGTGGCCCTTGCAGGCTTGTTCACACCAAGTGCAGAGCAGAGCAGTTACAGAACGCATCAAAAATGCATCCAATGTATTCCAATGGTATTCTGGGCTCTGGTCCACACCACAGCGTTCAGTTCCAGAGCATGTCCTATTTTTTCTGCTCTGGAACGCACCAAAACGCATGCAAACGCATCAAATATGCATGCAAACGCCCTGGAACACACTGGGAGCTCATTTTAGGCAAAGCAAATATTTTAAAAAAACGGGCCAAAACGCGGCAAAATGCACTGCACTGCACGTGCAGAAACTCATGCAGATCTGATCTGGATTTGGTGTGAATAAGCCCTGCAAGGTTTGCCGCAGCTGTACAGTACAGTTGGAATGAACTTGGTACACTCCTGGCCCTGACCCTCCCTGTACACTTGCATGATTTGGTACCTTCCTGGTTACGTGCAGTGGTGGCGGAGCTTGCTTTTTAGCAGGCGGCAGTGAAGAAGAGCAAAGTGGTAGCAGAGGCTGCTGGAGTGGAAAGGTAAGCAAGCAGAGCTTGGGGGGGGGGGCAGCTGCTGAGCTTGGTGTCCGACGCTGGGGTGGGGGGGAGCACTCTGAAGAGGACAACACAGCAGCAAGCAGCTGGTCCCCCAAGGCTGAGTAGGGGCCCAATGCTAAGGTGGGGGGAGAGACTTTGCAGAGGACAGCAGTGCTGTCCTCTGCAAAGGCTTCCCCCAACCCAGCGTCGGGCCTGGCTGCTGTCCTCTGCAAAGGCTTCTCCCCCACCCTAGTAGCAGCAAGCAGCTCTACAGCCAGGGGTGGAACTACTGCTGGTGCAGCTGTAGCAGGGCCCGAGCCTAGGGGGGCTCAGTATAGTACTCACAGACACCAGGGCTACCCCAGTGCAGAGATAGTGGGGGCGCCGGCCGTCAGCTACCGGGCACTGCCGAGGGAGCCGGGATGGAAGGCCGGAGGTGAACATACATAAATGTACTGCAGGTCAGACCTGCAGGCACACTACGAGGCAGCGCTGGGGCTTCGGCCATGAGTACCCAGTGGGCAGCGGCCTAGTTACAGAACCCACCAACTCTCCCTGGTGCACGGTGTTCCTGCCGAGGACAGTCAGAAAAGGTGACTGCTTTCACCTGTGTTCTATAGTTCAGCTATGTTCTATAGTGTCATCATTTGTAGCCCACAACTGATGGAACTATTCTGCATTGCTGAATAAAATATTGCTGGGAGTTGTAGTCCTCTGCAGCTGCTGCCGTTCTGTATTGTAGCAATGTAGAATGGCTTTGGCTATAGAGGACTGCAACTCCCAGCAATACTTTATACAGAACTGCAGAATGGTACCAGTTATAGAGGACTACAACCCCCAGCAATACTTTATACAGAACTGCAGAATGGTACCAGTTATAGAGGACTACAACCCCCAGCAATACTTTATACAGAACTGCAGAATGGTACCAGTTATAGAGGACTACAACCCCCAGCAATACTTTATACAGAACTGCAGAATGGTACCAGTTATAGAGGACTACAACTCCCAGCAATATTTTATACAGAACTGCAGCCATTCTGCATTGTTGTATAAAGTATTGCCGGGAGTTGTAGTCCTCTATAGCTGAAGCCATTCTGTATTGCTGTATAAAGTATTGCCGGGAGTTTTAGTCCTCTGTAGCTGAAGCCATTCTGCATTGCTGTAGAAAGTATTGTGTCTAAATAAAGAGACTAGACAGAGTGTTTTTGATGGTTTTAATTTGAAATGTACCTTGGTGTCCTTCACTAAGGTCTGTACTTTGGAAAATGTCCGCCACAGCCTTGTTCCGTGCCTATGCCTGGTTGTAATATTCCATCATGGCCACTAGAT